CCAAGGACGGTGGTCCCTCTCCCATAAAAGGTGGAGGCGGTCACACAGTTTCCACGCCTGCTCACCGTGAAAGCCCTGCAGGAGTTCCTCGGCATGGTGAACTTTTACCACCGTTTCATCCCTCGAGCCGCACAGCTGATGCAGCCCTTTTGCTGACACTAAGGCAGCCCTGGCGCAGGCCACCTGCTGTCCCTCTCCCATAAAAGGTGGAGGCGGTCACACAGTTTCCACGCCTGCTCACCGTGAAAGCCCTGCAGGAGTTCCTCGGCATGGTGAACTTTTACCACCGTTTCATTCCTCGAGCCGCACAGCTCATGCAGCCCTTTTGCTGACACTAAGGCAGCCCTGGCGCAGGCCACCATGCTGGCACATACTTCAGCCACAGCCTCCATCGCCATCAACTCGGACGCCTCGGACTACGCTGTCGGTGCCGTCTACAAGCAGTGGGTAGGCGGGGCCTGGCTGCCGCTTGCTTTCTTCAGCCGCCAGCTGCGTGCTAACGAGCGTAAGTACAGCACTTTCGACCGGGAGCTGCTGGGTCTCTACCTCGCCATCAGACACTTTGGTTTCCTGCTGGAAGGTCGACACTTCAACGCCTTTGTCGACCACAAGCCACTAGTTTTTGCCATGGCCAAGCCAAAGTACACCGCCACACTAAAGTTCCGTTAGAGTTGCTCCCGGTGTCAGAGAGGCGCTTTGACCATGTTAATGTGGATCTGGTTGGCCCTCTGCCCTCCTCTCATGGTTTCACCTACCTGTTGACCATGGTTGACAGGACCACCCGTTGGCCCGAAGCTGTGCCACTGACATCGTTGGCATCTGTCGAGACGACACGGGCATTTATCGGCACCTGGGTTGCCCATTTTGGCACCCCTTTGGACATATCCTCTGACCGGGGCACGCAGTTCACGTCTGAGCTGTGGAACGCGGTGACCCAGAGCGAAACTCCCCCTCACGACTGCATACCACCCGCAGGCTAACTGACTCTGTGAGAGATTTCACAGGTCGATGAAGGCTTTTCTTCGTGCCGGCCTTAAAGACAGCAACTGGGCCGACAAGCTCCCGTGGGTGATGCTTGGCATCAGGCACTAAAGGAAGGCCAGCAGTCCTCATCCGCGGAGCTTGTCTATGGCCAGCCACTGCGAGTTCCAGGGGATTTTCTTCCTCCACCGCTCCCTCGTCCCTCGACTCTCCAGCGGGCCGCAATACTGGACAATGCAAGGCTTTTCGCACCTTCAGGCTTCAGACGGCTGAATACGTCTTTATTCGCCACGGCGCTCACAGGGGGGCGCTACGCCCACCCTACGAGGGCGACGGAAGACAAACATTATGTGGTGGACATGGGGGGTAAACCGGAGCGACTCTCCATTGACCGCCTCAAACCAGCTCATTTGGATGTTGCTAGGCCCATTGAACTGGCCCAGCCCCACAACGTGGGCGTCCTCCAGCTCTCCACCCACCCCCTGCTCCCCTCCCTCCCAAAACTCTCACACTTCATGCCCCACGCCCGTGTCATGGTGGTACACCTGCCACGGTAGTGGCTCCTCGACCCCCTGTGCAACACAGCCGTTCTGGCCGGTTAATACAACCACCTCGCCGATGATTTTTTTCTTATATGGTGAATTCTGGGGGGAGGTGTGTAGTGAATGTGACTTCATAATTCACCCTTGTTCTTAGTGTCGTTCTACACACTGTTGTTTCATGCAGTTATTTGACTGTTCCAGGATTGCGGTCCATTTTTGACATGTGACATTCATGAAACGTTAGAGACAAACTGGCATAGAACAAGCAGTTGACACAGACTGAATACACAGGGGACCGGGACACAGGTGGAAACAATTTCTTTCAATCACCGAGGGCGGCGGCACACAGGAAGGGAGGTGTCTGAAACGAGAGGCAGGGTGAATGACAGATAAAATCTAACCCTGCCACCGCTGCAACGGCTAGACAAGAAGCATGACAAAATATCGCAGACAAGTTAAATGCATAAGCGTTGGGAATATGTATAGGCATATTTTAAGTGCCTCATCACCACAATCAGATTATATTGCTTTAAATGTGCTGGCAGTCGGCTTAATGCAATGAATTTAATGAATTAATTCATTCCATTAAGGTCAATGATATCTTGCTAGCAAAAATAATTATAATTATAGTATTAATTATGTATGTGTTGTATTTAGTACTGCAGAATTTCAATCAATTGAAGCAGTATAAAGAAATTGCATGTGATTCTCTCTATTCTTATCATGTCCACTTTAATACTACTGTACTCTGGTGTACAAATAATACATTGGGAAACTTTGCATAATGATAAGCTCCGTAATGAATTTTGATAGGAATGCATTTCCATTAAATGGTGAAATACTGAATAACTCAATTAACTGAAATCCCACAAAAGCCATCTTGATTTGCATTTACTTGGACATAATGACCACACAACACAAGTTCCTTAAGTGCCCAATAAACTTGAACAGCACGGTGTGCAGCGGCTTTCCTGATGTTCTCTGCATCGCTGATACTGTACAAAAATGTTCTACTCAAAAATAGACTGCATTCCACTGACGGAACAAAGATTCAAAGGCGTCAAGACTTTCATGTGTATTTGTGTGTTATTAATATTAATATCAAATAAAATTGAACTGACAAAATATCAGTAATGACAGCTCCATTTGTATATGAATGTATCATATATTTATCCTATAGGATAAACACAATCTTATCCTATACTCTCCCTGTCTAAACACACACACACACACACACACACACACACACACTTGCAGAAGTGAAGGAATCAAGCTAGCACCTCATTGAGTGGAACACTAATTAAGACTTCAAACTCTCACTTCTTCCTCATCCATCAGTGATGTTTCTGGAGAGATACTGTTTATATTACAGATTAATAGCTATATCATTGGGGCGGCACATGGAGTAGTGGTTAGCACAGTCGCCTTACTGAAAGAAGCTCCTGTGTTTGAAACAACGCAGCACCTTTCTGTGTGGAGTTAGTTTGGTCTCCCCGTGTCTGGAGGGCTTCCTCCCACAGTCTAAAGACTTGTTCTTGGGGCTAGGTTAACTGGTGACTCTACTGGTGACTCTAGCGTAGTTGCCTCTCATTGGTTAAAACATGCTTATTTCTGACAAATTTAAACCGGGGTGTCGCTGTTTCTGGGTTGGTAAAACCCAGTTCACGCACCAACCTGTTTGACATATTTTGGCAATAAATGTTTCCTGATTCCTGGTAAAGAGTTTATAAGAATATACAGGAGATGAGATATTTTCCAAACTACTGTTCAATAACTCTGAACTGAACACTGAATCAAAATCACAATTGTCTTTATTGAACTGCAAATTAACCCCACAATTATCAGAGTCCCTCACCATCAGTCGTTAAATGTACTTAGTCTCCTCACCTCTTTACATACTAAAAACGTATCTTTCTCCCTTTCTCATTTCAGATTTGGAGATTCTATCAATATGCAGAGCTTTACTTCTCTGTTCTTCACTTTTGCAAGTTCAATTGCAATGAATTTTGGCCATTTATACGCCTTCTAACATCCTTCTCAGCTCTCTGCACAGAACCTTTGGAAAAGGGATGGTTGTCCCTGCAGTGGTCCTGCTGTGCGCCTGGCTTACTACTCACAATTACTTGAATCATTTCTGTCATAGGAATTGCATGTATTATACATTGTTCATTCTGTACACATGGCATCCATTGTAGTCTGTCCATCCCGGGAGTGGGACCCCTCCTCTGACGTTCTCCCTAAGGTTTCTTCCCTTTTTTCCCTCTTGGAAGGGTTTTTCCATTTTTTGGGGAGTTTTTCCTGTGCGGATGGTGGGTTTCGGGACAGAAGATGTCGTATGTGTATAGAATGTAAAGCCCTCTGAGGCAGATTTGTAATTTGCAATTTTGGGCTATACTGAATAAAATGAATTGAATTGAATCTCCTTCTCATGTTTCTTCCTGAATTTAGTCTTTTTAAATTTGACACTGTCAACCTTTAAGTGACCTCTAAACTTGTATTATTGTTCTTATATACCCATTTTACCCCTCTTTCTCAAACAAGTGTAATCAGGTCATCAATTCCATATCAACATCTTTTATCTTTACCTATGATGCCTTCCCAAACCAGTGTATGCCCACCACCATTATCTTGTGACGTGATGCTATGTGAAGATGTGCGAGATGCCAGATTCTAGGAGTAGTCAGTTAGTAGATCTTCCTGTTCTGTGTAAATCCAGAGACAATTTTACGGAGGCTGCATCAGCGTCTTTTAGTGAATATTCAGGTAGTATAGTATTACTCTGCCGGGTCTAGAATTTTGTATTTACATCCTATTTAATCCATCTTTAACTACCTGTAGTTTATATTTGTGTGTTCATGTGTGAATATATGTGAAACGATTGTATTGTTTTTTTTATTATTTCTGCTTATTTTGATTTGAGTTTTAATAAATACCCTTTTATTATTAACCAAACAAGATATGTTTGTTGCATTGTTCGACAATTGCAGGTGATCAATTAGGCGCAGGCCTGGACAAATCATTACAGCAGAATGGATCTGTTTCTGTTCACAACAGATGGCAATTTGAGTTATGTTTGCTCTTGGCAGCTTGGGTTTCCTGCCGGCTTTATTCTCCCTGCCTGAAGCAGCAGCCTCCAGCTGATCAAAGCTATATTAAATATATAAATCAAATTTATTTGCTTGATTAGTTTCATTCCTCCACTTTATGAAGATCCCAAGATATTTATTTATTTATTTTCACCTGTAACTATGCTCCTCACCAGTCCTTCTACAACTTGTTTCACTCACTGCTAAGAACAAATGTCACACTTCCAACTCTAATGTCATACGACGGTCTAGAGTTGTCGTGTGACAAGAACACTTGTGGGTTGTGAAGACACGAATGTGGTGTTATGACTCATTTGTACTTTGATGTTTGAACTCAATGTTTCTTAGAGGGAAATTAAGTGACTAAAGTGAATTCTTTATTTTCTCACAGGTTTTCATGACTCAACCTACAGAAAATGGGAGCTCACTGTATCCCGAAGGAAAGCTTCAAAAGGAACCTTGTGATTTTTCCACACTGCTGTGGGTGAGAGTCAACACGACAACATGAGTGCTAAAGCCATGCAACACAACCTTTGAGTTCACACTCAATGTGATTTGACCTTCCGCAGCGCGTTGTTTCCACCAACAGATGGAACACTGTGTAATTACTGTGTGTCCAAAAGGTCTCACCTTGCTTCTGATCAGAACTCTGCACAACTGGAACAGATGGGCAATAAGATGCATGATGCATGAAAGACAATGTAATGCTACATGATTGCACACTAACAATCCTGTGAATCAGTGTGTATAGTAGTTAGCTTGGAAAGCATTGGCTGCATACCCTGCTTCGCTGTAGATACAAGGGATGATAAATGTTTTGTTGATACTCTCACTAGTATTCAGTTTTGAGCAAATAGACCCAAAAGAATCAATGATGTATGAACCATGATGGATATTTTCTTTCTTGGGTATAGTAACAAAAACAATAAATAACCCGTCCTTGTTATAAGTGCTCCTCAATATCTGACATTTAAACACGGTCAGAGTAAATGAGCTCAATGGTTCACACAGGGAGCGAGGGAATTTTGTCCCAGGCACTGCTGTTTCTGGTTTGAAAGTAAAAGTAAATGTTTTAATTTCATGTTGATCAATAATCACATGACTTTTGTGTGTCACATGCTGATACTCAATTATTAATAAGTAAGTATTTTAAAAACTACTGCGCTTTCCAGAGTATCACTACTCCCTGTCTGTTCACATATCTGTAGCCACTTGATGAACTTGGTCTCATAAGATTGCTCTTCAAAGGTCGCTAAAACATAATTGTTGAATAAATATTTGCATTACTGGTTAAGGTAAGGTGTATTACTATTGTTGTCCAGGCAAATGTATGGAATCGAGTGGCAGATTACAAACTATTGATAAGGATTATATGTAGGGCCTTTTTTTAGTTGATCTGAGGAGTTTTAAATTCCAACAAGCCCAAATTTGGCTTCCCTTCTAGCTTCATCGGATAGCCTAATTCCAGCTAACAGGGAGCATACCCAGAAAAAGTGACTATGGATTTCAATGGGAGCCGGGAATATGGGTCCTATCCAACTGGGCTGCCCTATAACACAAGCATTGACTATGAGGACTACTATCAGGACCCAGACGCCAGTAAAATCATCATTCCATCCATCTATGCTCTTGTCTGCTGTGTAGGTCTAACTGGCAATGCCATGGTCATCTATGTCATACTGAAATATGCCAAAATGAAAACAGCCACTAACATTTACATCCTAAACCTAGCGATTGCTGATGAGTTGTTTATGTTAAGTGTTCCTTTTCTGGCCACTTCAGCTGCCATCCGTCATTGGCCCTTCGGGTCGCTGATGTGTAGGCTGGTGCTGAGTGTAGACGGTATCAACATGTTTACATCAATCTTCTGCCTGACTGTGTTGAGTGTTGACCGATACGTAGCAGTTGTACACCCTATAAAGGCTGCCCGCTACCGCAGACCGACAGTCGCGAAAGTAGTCAATGTGTGTGTATGGGGGCTCTCACTCATAGTCATCCTGCCCATCATCATCTTCGCAGACACTGTCCCTGCGCAGGACGGTGGTGTGGATTGTAACTTCTTGTGGCCTGAATCAGCGTGGTCACAAGCATTTATGGTCTATACCTTTCTGTTGGGGTTTCTTCTGCCGGTTGGAGCAATATGCTTATGCTACTGTTTAATGGTGGCCAGGATGCGAGCAGTGGGGCTGAAAGCAGGCTGGCTCCAACGGCGGCGCTCGGAGAAGAAGATAACCCGCATGGTGCTGCTAGTCGTTGCAGTGTTTGTTCTCTGCTGGATGCCCTTCTATATTGTCCAGCTTGTCACCGTTTTCCACCGGCCCCCAGACCCAATGGTCACTCAGCTTTTTGTCATCCTCAGCTACGCCAACAGTGGCGCCAATCCTATTCTGTACGGCTTTGTGTCTGACAATTTCCGCCGTTCGTTCCAGCGCATTGTGTGTTTCCGGTGGGTGGAGTCTGGGTTGGATGCGGAACAGGTGGATTACTGTGCTGTAGCTTTAAAGAGACAAGAAACTTGTAGCCCTCTGGATTTTCCCAAGGACTGTATGGCTTCTGATATTGTGTTTCGCAATGGGACATGTACCTCTCGTACAACCACTGTGTAACCAGAACCACGGTTTAAAAAGTATTGACACCTTAACCAAGAATTTTCCCATCGTTGGCTTATGCCACAGAGATTTATATGTATGTGCTTTAAAAACTTGGAGTGTGCCATATAATAATTGACTTGACACCATTTTTTAAACAAATTTTGGGACAAGTCTAGAAGCTGAGAAACTTTAAAGAGCAACTCATGTATGAGCAGAAAAATGCCCATTTCAACAGCTGATTTGGCTTCATGTAACAGACAATTAAAATACTGTACATAATTATCAAGATTCCTGAAATTTTCAATTTTTGATGTTAAGCACAAGTGAATGTAGGCACAAAATCGTAAGGCTTTAAACCAGTTTGATTCTGTGACTTATTTTCTGACTTAGGCATAAGAGGTTACTTAGGAAACCCCATTAACTAATTGCAAACAGGAAATTCCTTATCCATTCATCATAATTGTTTATTTACGGACACACTCTTATTAACCACCGAAGGGAACCCCCGCAATCCTTAAACAAGATAATGTTTTTATTCAGAAGTGATTTCCAATTACTTGCATTTTTATTTAAATCACTGTTATTACAGGTTATTCAACTTGAGACGTTTCAAAATAAAGATTTAATTTAATTTCAATGTAATTGATCTTGTCTATTGAACATTTAGTTACTGCAGATTTGTTGAACATAAAGTACCATTGAAAATTGCTGTAATTAGTTTTATTTCTGGGGAAGTACGACTAAGCTTATTTTCAAAGTTTGCTTGTGTATTACTTTTTCTTGAATAGATGTGTTAAAAAACACGGACGGGAATGTACTGGGTTGGCCCTAGATATCCCAGAGATAACAGTAATGTCAGATTACTGTGTGTCAGTCTGTCCAGGCTTTTTATGTAATGTTTTATTAATACATAATTGTATGTTTGTGAATTTGCTGTATTAATATTTGTTAATTGTTCGTTGGTGATTCCGTTTAACTTACGGTTTATCTTTGCAGATTGAGCCAGAGTGGTTCTACTTCAGTTGCACATTGTGTCAAATATGGCTATAAAATGTATGTGTTGAGTTTATGTTTATGTACATTACAGAGGCTTAAAAACCGTCCTCATGTGATCTTTGTCATTTGTTTTTGTAGTTTCCAAAAGCTTCACATTTGATGTATAATGTTAATAATAAGTGTTAATTCTGCCTTTAAAAGTAATTGCAATAACTAAAAAGTACGTGGGATCAAAAACCCTTCCTCATCAATTACTCATATGCTCAATTAATTTATCAATGTTTCCATCCATGCGCTAAACAAACATGACACTTCTAAACATTTATTTGTATACTTGGAAGAAGTCAGGAGACACTTTCAAAGTCAACATTGCAATAAGGTTGGGTTTGCCTGCATGAATCACCTCCTCACCAGCAGATAACAGACACATCAATGACAATGTCTCCTCAGTGAAGCTCTGTACAGATCCAACATCACTCAAAGGCTGGAGTCCATGTGCCGTTTTATGTTTACGACCCAGAGGGCACATTGCAGTCGGAACCTCTAAAGTATTGTAAAAGTAACAAACTGCAGCTTTCTTGACTCAGAAATTAAACACATATTTTGAGCTAAAAGTCCAAAGAGACACATCCAGGATCATTCAAGTCTCAAAGTGTTGTTTCTCAATTTTACACTTTTTCATGGTACTTCATTTTCTAAATGTCTTTTTAAAAAGGGGGCTTTGGTGTGTTTTTTAATAAGACACAGAGACCTGGGACCAGTAACATGGCAGAATAGCTCTGACTTATGTACGTGACCTGTACTCTATATTTCCTTCAATGGATTCCTATTCAATCTTTATGCTATGTTCTATTCTGTGGTATTGCTCTGTGAAGAGGTGTGTAAGCAGGGACCAAATGTTTAAAACTCTTTCTATCTGATCACAAAGATCAGCACGGCAAGAACCCTCCAGCACATTGCCTGAAGTGCAGATGGGCGGAGATGCTCTGGAGGGTTACCAGGTGAACGGGAGGGTGGCAAGGGAGTTGAAGATCTGACAAAGGAGCTAGCCAACAAAGATAGCCCATGGCCTAAAGAGTCATGGACATCGTGTCGTCCTCTGATGACCGATAGCTGGCGTGGAAGGCCATTAACGTTTTGGCCATACTGGATCAGGACAGGCAGGCGATGGGCCTACAAATCTGAGGCTAGGAGGATAAAACTCAATGCCCTTCTAACAACTGGCGGAACGCGCGCATGCTGGAATGAGTTATCTGAATATCCAGGCAGCCAATTCACCAGCCAAGGCTTGCTGGCAGGTACTGAATGGCATGATTCCCCTCAATTGGTTCAACAACAAACCCCAAAAAAATCAGTTGGGTCTATTTTGGGTCAGATTGTAGTGATTTGAGGACAATTTGAGTAAGAGACATGCAGATGGACAAAAAGTAACAGTTCAGTGAATTAATAAGGAAGTGAAGCTACATACGGGTACTGACATTTATAGAAATCCATATGTTCGTGGAACAATCAAGAGAAAAGAGTGCCCAACAGGTACTGATTCAAGGTACATGTTTTTATATTGAATGATTACAGGAGTGTTTGTCTCCAACAAATAATGACTGATTTGACAAGGTTTCTCTTTTTGAGAGGCAAAAAGGAAATATACATTAATAGAACAAAAGTCCATTATTAAAACATTGCTTTCAAATGCTTTGGACCGTGACATCTGCAGGGCGGACTTCATTTTAATCTGTGATTGGCCAGTTACATCAGAATGTAACTGCACGTCTGTCCAACTCTCATATATAACCATATCTTACCTATCTTTTAGGATTGTAATATCTTCAGACTACAAATTAAAAATTGCACTCACAGAAATATTATTGTGCACTGTCCCGAATTAAACAAGAACAATAAATTAAGGGATAGGGGGTGGAGACGATGCTCAGTACCCCATTGACATTTTTGAGACACCTATTCAGATGGGCTGTTTAAATTTTTAAGTGCTGCAGCTGGTAGGTCCATTCTTCCCCACAATTTCTATCCCATATTGCTGGTGGTGGCCCACCACTGACAGCTGTCAGATTGTACACAGATCACAAAGTTACTAAAAACAAATGACAACACTAAAGGCGATTTGATGGAAAAAGAAGGGAGGTTTTCGTGTTACTTGAGAAGACTTCACTCCCATCGCTGACCAACTGGTCAACAAAAAGTTGTACCTAATAACATTCTTCATTGAGGTCTGTCGCCATGTTTTAGGTAGCTGTAATCACCATGAACAAGATTAGAAAATCTATTAAAATGTGAGTGATTTTGTCTGAAAAAAATCCAATTAACTTCGTGAACACAGCTTGTCAGTGCGTGCTTTTGTTTTATGTCTAAATGCAGATCTAACAGTATGCCTAAAGTAAAAATGTCGTTTTTAAAGGCTCAACGCAAATGAATATGGATAAAATGTTACTATTGTAACATTTGGTTTGATTAAAACCATGTGAATTTTGAAATCACATCCATCCATGTCAGACCGCTTATCCTGCACACAGGGTCGCGGGGGGGCTGGAGTCCATCCCAGCCAACTTCGGGCAATAGACAGGGTACACCCTGGATTGGTCGCCAATCGCAGGGCAACACAGAGACACACAACCATTCACACTCACATTCACACAACTACGGGCAATTTAAAGTCCCCAATTAACCTGATCCCCAGAGCACGTCTTTGGACTGTGGGAGGAAGCCGGAGAACCCGGAGAGAACCCACGCAGACACGGGGAGAACATGCAGACTCCACACAGAAAGGCCACTGGGCGGAATCGAACCCAGGACCTTCTTGCTGTGAGGCGACAGTGCTAACCACCACGCCACCGTGCCGCCCTTCCCAGCCAACTTCGGGCGATAGACAGGGTACATCCTGGATTGGTCGCCAGCCAATCGCAGGGCGACACAGAGACACACAACCATTCACACTCACATTCACACATCTACGGGCAATTTAAAGTCCCCAATTGACCTGATCCCCAGAGCATGTCTTTGGACTGCGGCAGGAAGCCGGAGAACCCGGAGAGAACCCACGCAGACACGGGGAGAACATGCAGACTCCACACAGAAAGGCCACTGGGCGGAATCGAACACAGGACCTTCTTGCTGTGAGGCAACAGTGCTAACCACCACGCCACCGTGCCGCCCCTTGAAATCACATGTTCAATTTAACTTATTTTATGTACATGTTGACTTTTGGACTTGGCAATTTGGATTCATGGAAATGTCGGGAATAATACGCTGCTGCTGTGAAAGCAGTAGATAACAACTGAGGCTTCCCTCCCATTTTGGACTAAATAGGAGCCAGATGGGTCTGGAGTTAAGGCAATGCTACAATAAAAAAAAAAGGTAAAAAGGTTTTCTCAGCTCCAAACAGACTTCTTCATTCTGAATTAATTTGCAGACCTGACACAACCACCTAGCAACGTTGATGCTTGTAACCATAGTAACAAACTCCTGCCTGCTAATGGAGAAGGAGGGACTGACGCTGTGCTGCTGCAGGAGGAGATGTGGACAGATTGCAGCTCACTGTATACCACTATGTAAAATGACCCCACAATTACATTATGATATTGTATAAACACTAATGCTGCAAGATATTTATAATTCATCCAAACACTTTGGCTAAAGTAAATTTAGCCTATGCTAAATCCCGGCACAAAAAAACGGAAAGATGATGTTAATAGTATTGCCAGGCCTCACTGTGAACACAGGATTTTCTAAAAACAAAGCTTTCCATTTACCTGAATGCTTGTATTTTGTTCACCTGCTGCATGTTTCAGTCGATCATGATATTGTGATGGATTTTCTCTCTCTCACACACACACACACACACATCCTCTTCAAACCTACTTATGTATTCAAAATGCATGCTTTCTGTGAAAAATGGCAGATTGTTATATTGAGGCCTTTTGTCATGAAAGCTTTTTCAAGACACCTTTCTGATGGAAATCTAGGAATGTGGTTTTGAGATGTAGGTCCTGGTGATTTTTCACGGTGTTAGAAATGTGTGTCGTAGAACACATGAGTACTATTGTCCTCTCCACAGTTGTCTTCTCCAATTAATTCATTCATGTAATTAACATAAGATAAATTGACCAGAAACTGCAGTTGCACACAAGCATAAACAGATGCTGAATAAGTTTGAATAAAAAATGAGTGATCATTACTTTTGCTCCTAGAAATCTATTTCTGTACTTTTCACTCTTTAATATCTTCAAATATGTGATATGAATAAAATAAAATAATATGGAGGGCTCAATGTGGAGTGTCTGGCGGCTGAGCTTGTACATTGCTTATTTTGGGACGAAGCGTATGTAATAACCCCCTATCCCCAAAAATGCTTCATCTCTTTTTTTAGTCTTTGGCCGCGGTGCAGGCTGCCATAGTATGCCGTAGTCTTGTCCACTAGGCGGCGCCACCTAAGTTGGGCCCCCTGACACCGTACCTCCATTCATCCAACTTTCCTCTTCCCTGGGTTGGTAATGAGCCCGGCCTGCCCCGGGGACTTGAGGAATTTGTGTCCGGTCTGCCTCGCGAGGTAGGACCCTCTCCTGTTGTCAAAATGAAGCCAAATAGATTGTTCAAGTAAAATAAACTCTGTTTATTCTATATCGAAACCTAAAACAAAACCCAGTGCGGTCAGGGGTTGAGTCACAAACAAAAATATTCAATTAATAGTCTCCACGCGGTCAAAGCATACAGACCCCAAAGGCACTCCAGTCCAGTGTTTATATTTGAGTGTACTTCGGGCCAATTTGCTCATACCTCATACACGTTCAGCCCAGGGATTGGCTGATATTGTGACCAGAACCTCAGTACGTCATCAGCTCAGGGATTGGTTGAGACCACTAACTACACCGCTACACCGCCACTAACGCATTTTCAGTTTCCTGCCCGTTATACTTTCTCCGCTACCGATTTACACATGTGATGCCTGAAACGAAGAACAGTTAAAAGCTATTTGGAATGCTTTTACCATTCCCTTTCTTCTCAGACTCCAGCATCGCACCCACCCACTGCACATGCTTCGCCCAGGTGGTGCTGTGAATGACCACGTCACCCAAGTAGGCGGCAGCATTAAAGT